TGTTTGCTCAGTACACAGGTACATATGTACTGTAGGTACTACACGGTAAGTACACAATACAACTCAAAACGTTAACATTCAACATTTATAATTTTTTCATTGAATTCACAAGTTTCTAAGCATTAATGCCATATGAGACTATTTAAATACTGATGGAATTCCAAGAAGAAGCAAACAAGCACTCAATGGCACATTTTAACACCTATGGACCTGTAAGGAAAAACTTTAACATTTAAGGACGGCCAGCTGGCCGGCCGGCCGGACAGAAGATGGAAATTGGTATTACATAAGCTTGCACTTGCTTCGCAGCTCGCCAAAACACAGTGAATCAATGTTCCTTCCCTCCCCCAAACACCGCAGGTGGGAACCACAAAGCAGTATCTCTCCTTGGGAATGTTGAAACATGGACACCAACCAAAACTAATTTCAAAGGGAGAACAGCTCACCGGGTATTTCCAAACTGGTCTTGGATGGGCCCAGCGTGGTTACACTCTCGTGGCTGAGGTTGGCTCTGATCACCCGATACCCAAGGATTTCACCACGTGCACTGGCTTGAGGAAGAGGCTGAAATGGAACCAAAAAAAGAGGAAAAATATCAGAGGAAGGTTGTGACTTTAATTTCAAAATCCTTTACCCTTACCTTAACCCTGCTGCCACTGTTTACCTTACAAAGAATCTCATTTAACCTAACAGACTATTATATAAATAATGAACGTTTATGGAGGAAGTGGTAAGAACAGTTTCAAGAAGTAAAATTTTCTGATCAATCAGGCAATAACGGAACATCCCACCTATCACTGCATTAAGTTATTTTTTTTGGCTACACAGTCTAAAACTTTCGTTACTTGTTTTATACAACGTCTACATACATCATACTTTCTGAGCTTGGCGTGAAAGTACAACACGAAGGTTTCATGTTCCAAGCCGCCACTGACACCTTGTCAAGCCCCTCAACAGATCCCCAGTCACATCCCTGGACACACAGTGCACTTACCTCCCATTTCAGGAGCACATCGCGGAGAGAGTCGTTCCGGGAGTTGATCTGCGAACTCCAGGTAACGTTGACCTCTGCGTCTGGCCCTGAGGGGAATCAAGACAAACACCCACATCTCAAACTTGATTTTCCTGACTCCTCCTTGCAAAAGGTGGAGGAATATGAAGGGGTAAAGACAGGACAGCAAGAATGAGTGGCTGGTTTTACAAAAATACCCCTTGCCTAAGCCTTAGGTTGAACCTTGCTCTGGGGTGCATAAATGTCCAGGCTGACAGCTGTCAGAACTGTCCAAAAGATGGCCTGTTTAATTGCTTCCCCTGTTTGATCAAGCAAACCTGATTGCATTTGATTTGACACTCGTGTGACTTCTCACACTTAAACTCGGGCCTGGCCTAAGTAATTGACCTCCCACGCTAGTTCCTTCGTGGTGATTTCATCACACCTGCGAAAACATGACAGCTATGCCACACGATGCCAGGTGAAGTTGGCACCATTGTAAATAGTTCAGAAAAATACCAAGGAAAAGGGCAAGGGTAGTACCAGTGACTGAAGGTGCTGAGTTGCTCATTTTTGGTGTCAACTTGCAACAAGTAGAGACATACAACAATCAGTTCTAAAAACAGTACCGAGTGGACCAGCGAAAGCTGCTGCTCTTTGAAAAAATGTGCCTTATCCAATTCAAACTCTGTGCAGTAAGATCAAAACGCTTGGACCTCTGAAAGTAAAATATCCGTGCAAGTAAAACTAGAAGTCACAGTACATGTACAAGATCACATCTTTCACAGGTTGGAACCTCCAAACACAGATTTATTACACTGTACATGTGGCAACTTCTTGTTTGCAACTCTAAAAGTCTATACCTCATACTCCTAACTGGCCACAGGTGGATTGGGGAGGGGGAGGGGCCAACAGGAGCCATGGCCCCTCCCAGAGGGGAGCAAATACTGAAAGGTAATTATTCAGTCCGTGTCAAATCCTTTTCTGCCCATTATATATATGAAGAGCCAAAAATGTAATCTTACCCCTAAGAAAGTCGATAAAAGGATACATAAGAAACCTCCGAATAGTTTTGCACCCTCCCGCAACAGACAAATGTGCTCCCCCCCCCAAAAAAATGAATTGGGTTCTGTGCCCGGCCTTGTCATGAGCAAGCTTACTTTCTTCCAAGGTTCTGTTGCAGGCCGTGTCAGACCACTCACTCCATGGCCCTATAGAAAATTTAGCGGCAACTCTGACACAATAAGTGGTGTAGGGATCCAGAGAACCTGGTAGTGGAAGCAGTATGGCGTATTTCTTTCCCGCAATGTTTGAGGAGTTGGGGTGCTAGACGTGGGAAAAAAGAGGGGAAAATAACCCTGTTACCAAGTGGGGGGAAAAACTGTGTTGGATCTTAATATGACACTGATCTTTTACTAATCAGGCAAACGACTAATTAGCAATCCAAATTGTACTTGGCTTCAAAAATGCTATGATACTGTGGGTCTCATTCAATAATTTGAAAGCTGGAATGTTGTTGGGCATGGGTAAGAAGTTAAGTTCTTGCCTTTTGTTTTTCAGTAATTCCTACATATCATGAAAAGTAAACATGACAAAACCTTGACATACTCAAATGAAATCACGACATAGTATCCAGCTGCAAGTATATTTTACATCACACTTATCATAAGCGTTTGCCTCCCACAGACTGAGAGAGAATAGTCACGAATCAAAATGAATTGTGAACATAATTTGGAGAATTAAGGTTTCGATGATTTCCCACGCAGTGAGTTCCCACCTAAGGACCATCAGTGTTATCTAAAAACAAGCCCCCTCTTGTTCCCGTTTGGAGCAGATAGGTCTGGTTTCCAGACTTCAGCACGTACCCGGATCAATACAGTCGTGCCTTCCTTGTAATACTCCACTTTATAATGCAGGGCAGATTCGTAAAAGGGATCCCACTCAGGTGGGAGGTCCCAGGTGACATTCAGCTGGGAACGGCGGAGGGCTTTTAGCTGGACGTTTCTCGGTGGATAGGGCACAGCTGAAATGAAAATGTGAACACCAAGATGCCCGTGAGTTGACAGACTAAACAGGCTTTTGACAGAAAATACAATGTGCATGTGAGTTAAGAGAGCACAAAGCAGAAAAAAGGTTTTGAAAAACACGTTTGAAAAAAACCACGGGAGGGGGGTTTGCATTTTGTGAGTTTTGAGTATTAAAAGAGCAAAGCTGAAACAGCGTATCACCACATTCTCCAATGGTGTAAGCAACGTAGCCACCTTCAAATCAAATGTCAACTGGTGGCGTGTACAGAACTTCCATGGTTTTAGAGGACACTCTCGACTTTTGTATTTCACCTTATTTATTCCTAGCAAATCCAGAGTACATGCCCCGTAAACACCAACAATCCAAACCAAGTTTATTCCATTGTCTAGTGTGATCACGAGCACTCTTTGAAAACAAAACATGCATTTCACAATCTGATCTCCAAGATGCACTAGGTCATATCGAGGGGTAACCTTTCTTCCTGAAATCTAACACAGTTTCAGCATGTACCAGTGAACACAACCACTTTATCTCTCCAAGGTACTTTGGACGAGCCAAAAATGCAACAAACTTGATCGAAGTTATTTTGTTTTGACAAAAAAGTTCAAATGGATTGTGTGCTTTTCAGAATTGGCTCAAACTGACTAACTTCGGCCTTGCTTGGTGGACTTAGGCTCTGTAGGCAGTCCACCCACCCACTCAAACCAGTTGAACAGTGAGAATGTTACAGGTGACATCTGACCTTTGTGACCTTGCGAGGTCCTGTCTTTCTTCTCCTCTCCCCCCACAAGGAAGGACGACACTTAAATATTAACAGTGAGGGGCACAATATTTTGAGCTTAGTTTCTGCCACCAGTTCCACTGAGTAACTTACTTTCCTCTTCGTGGTTAAACGACAGTTCCGCCGAGATGGCGTAGCCCAACTTGTTTCTCGATAAGACCCGGAACAACGCTGGACCATGAATGCGATCATGCACCGTGCACGTCAGCTCGTCCTTGCACTGGCAATACTCGTCGGGGCAGTTTTCATAATTTTTGATTTCACTGCTGGAAAAGAAACAACCCATGACATGCCATTGGATGATACAGCAAACGTCGGAGGAGGGGCTCTTTTTGACACATATTTGCATCTGTTCTAATTTTTATCTGTGTTGGGGGAAAAAAAGCTGCAACCAAAGTCTATATGATGAGATGACTTCCTTTCTGAAACTCAAGTAGAGTTTTACCACAGCAATGAGGAAAAATTGACAGGCTCTGACAAATTAAAGTACACTGTTATACCTCTGTCTTGATAACTATATTTTCATTGGCCAACATTACATGACCAGGTGAACAAAACATGTTATCCTCATCACTCTACATCATGCAATAGTGACATCCGATTGTGATATACCGGTAAATAGACTGGTCCCCTCTCCACAGTCCAGACCAGGATACACATACCAGGACCACTAGCCAGGTCACTCATTAGCACCTATGCTGTTTTCACCATGAGAGTACACTATTGGGAGCAGCGAAGTGGAGTGCAAAACTATAAGCCCTTGGAGCACTGTAATTTTTGTTAATAATTGAAGTATATTTCAAGTTTGTTTCTTTGTAGAAGTTCAGAAACATGGGGGCACTGCTGGAGACTGCGGCAAACATTGCTCCATGACACTCTCTGGGAGTTCCCCCAAAGCGACGAGGTGTAAATGGATTGTGCACAAATCTAACATGACTGACCGCCATGGGTCAGCTCTGGTAAAGTCCAACTTTGTAAAGGATTGCGGATGTAGTATCCTGTGATTTTATAAAGTAGGCAGTTACAGTGGAATGTAACAATGTGCCTGATACAAGGGCGTTGTGGAACAAGACCTTGGGCGAGTAGTTTTTAACAGAGCGATGTAACAATGCACATTGTTAAAGGAGTCTTCAACTGCCGGGTACTTTTGTACTTACTGTTGGGGAAAATACTGCAATGTGTAGGTTGTGTTGAGATTGGTATCTTTGCCTCGCTCCCAGGAGCATGTGATATCCCATGCGTTGTGAGAGAAGCACGACAAGCCACGGACCTCACTCGGGGGTTCTACGAGATGGGAAAAAAAAATTATTAAAAGATTTAGCAAAACACCTACATGTACACTGCTTTCTGTGGACAGGATGCCAAAATAATACTCAAGATAAGGCAAGAGGAACAGGTTCCATTTTTGACACTAATTACAGTCCCTGCACCTCATTAATAAGAGCATTGTTAACATAACAGCCTGCTTATAACAACAGGTCCCAAGCCTTTGTTACTGTTTTCATTCCTGATACAGTAATTTCAGGTTCAATCTGCCAAGTACTGGCACAAAGGACCTCTTATTAATGAGATCTGACTGTACACAAATTCACCCCTTTTTCCTCAAATTGATGAATTTATGACCATGAGCTTTTACGTGCAGTGTTAATAGAGAGAAAGCCACTGGTAAGAGAAAAATAAATTTACAGCTTCTTCCTGAAAGTAGCAATAAACCATGTTTGACAACTCGTGACTACACCCTGTTACCTTGCAGTTTAAATTAAACTACCCCTCCAAAGTGTACCACTGTGGTTTGTTTCACACTGGACTCCTTACAAAATGAAACAACTGCACACCACATGCATTCACTGACAGTTTATTTAATGGAGAAGGGGCTTCATCAAATGGCAGCAAAAGCGATCGCCCTGGCATCGGTGAATGTAAATTGTGCGGACATTTCAATTGTCGGCACTGATATGGCTGTGTGAAACTGTTCTCTTACTACTCGACATTCATAAATATACCAAAATCCTCAGAAATTTATCGTCTATTGGTTTCCTTTGACTCTCTGTCTAAAATGGTATAAAATGGATATTAATATGTACTTGGTCACTTATAATGTCAAAGCTGCAGAGTCGCATCCAAGCTCCCGAGCCAGTCTTGACCGCATGTTGAAGACCGGCCAAACATATACATTTATTTATTCCCTTATGAAATGAGTGCAATTCTAAGTGGAAAGGAGTGGTACTTTTCTTAATATAAACACACGATGCTTCAAAAAGTCACGGTTTTTAAAACAGTGTTACCGAGGAGGCTTGAACATTAAGCAAATTTCTTAATTCCCTGTAATTGAGGTACACATACCTTAAACGTGAAACTTTTCTCCGTCACAATACACTTTAAGTACAAAGCCTCAGTCTCTCATATTCAGATACGGTACATGTATCATGCATCATGAGCATGCACAAAATGAATCACAGTGTTCACTTGTTGATGTTCAAGCACACTGTACATGTACATACCACAAATGTGACCTACTCTGCGAAAATGAGTCATAAGTCGCCAGAGCTACTTTGGAGTAGAAAGTGTTTTAGAATAATTTTGCACAGTGTAAATCAATAGGAACCCACAGCATTTGTCACCATGGAATATCCACTTTCATCAGGATGCCAAACTGAGTGATGCATCAAAACAAAAAACTCAATTTGCTCTTTCCAGTGCAATTGAAAACTCAAAAAGCGGCTCTGGTGACTTAAGACTCATTTTCACAGAGTGGGTCACAAATGCAAAACAGATACTGCAGGTGAACACGGTGCTTGTAATTGTTTATGTACAGATGTACCATGCCATGTCTGTGCAGTGTACATGTGCTTGGATTATCTTTGCGACATTGAATAGTTTTTGCCCTCTTGGAGGCCAAGCTTCCCAAAATAAACACCAGAGAAAAACAAGATAGGATGGACAGACAAACCACACTGCCTCATACAGATATGGACCTACCACCTTGGCAGTACAAAAGGAATAAAAAATTCAGCACGAGGTTGACATGCAATTGTTTCAAACGATGTGAACAACCAAGTTTGCTGCAGCCATGTAATTGCAAACGGAATCATTAGGGTTTCAATTTACTTCAAGATGTCTCTAGTGGTGGTGAATCAAATGAAATCCTAAATTCCGTTTTCCCTTTCTGACTTGTGATGTATCAACAACTTCATAATCAACGGTCTGATTATCACTTCACTGCTGCCCCTGTACATATGCAGGTACCAATTGCTACAAGGTGTCTAATCATTGTTTGTGCATGGGGCCAAATTGCTACTCATAAAACTCCGAAGAGTTCATATTTGAACTGCAGGAGTGTGCACAGGTTGGAGAAAAACAATGCCTGGTGCTCCCAAAACCGCAGGACAATGATAAAAGTGCCCCAAAGTAACACAACTAGTAAGAAACATGTTCCCTGCCCACAGGGAACATGTTTTGCCACGGGGAGAGGGGAGGGAGGAGGGAGAAGGGCGCCAACGGGGAGGGGGATCCTGTTGGTACCCCCCCACCATGAACTCCATCTACAGGTACAGTAGGGCAAGTCATTTCCAGCGCATTCACATGGCCACCGCAAAGAGGGCGGGTGGCAGTGGCTGTCGAGCAACTTGACTGATCACGTTGGTGAGGGTAGTGTACAGTTTGCATACCATATCTCAGAATGAAAGACCCAAAAGTGCACTTGGGAGTGTGGTAATGACTCCCCAAAAAGGTTTTACAATCTGTAAGCACTTGTTTGTGACTGTAACTGTTTTGGTGGCAGGTTCTTTCATCTTGGTCCAGTAAAAACAGATCAATGAACCATTGCAGGCATGCACCGAGTTATGGGAGATATTCATGAGCATAATATCCTAAAGGGAATATAAACTGTGACTTCAAAGGAAATCGAGTTCTGGGTCATCCAACTTTGAGTTGACCAGACTTTTCATAGGGAATATTCAATCTATTGAATATACTTGAAATAGTTCCAATATCTCAAGTCATTGAAAAATCGGATATCAATGGACCCTAATGTACAGTACTGCACTGCATTCAAAGCTCTTTGGGCAAAAGGAATGGAAATACATGTACAATGTAGTTCTGCATTAAAGTGAGTGACTCCATGGACAGGCAATTTAATGAATGATTACGTGCATATGGCAAAATGCCAACCTATCAGGTACCTGTAAGCTCCATTTACTGTCTCCATTGTGCACTCGTATGTCAATGGCCAAACATGTCCATGCATGAATATGTTGGCATAAATCAGTTTCCCTTTTTCATTTAGTGGGCTGAAGGGAGACCGGTATAAAACATTAAGAAAATGAATTCATGCATGTCGCAAGCGATTATGCACAACAACCAACAACCATCACCTCTGTGGTGTAACTTGTGAACGACAGGCAAGTTGCCATGGCAACTGAGCTGTCTGCAAATCGCCGACTGCTAATTGAAACTTAGCATGGGTTCTCACTTTCCCTGACGTCAACGTTCACTGATGATCCAGGCGTTGACTTTATTTTTTTCTCCCACGCTACAATTTACGTAACAGCGACAGGCAGAAAAACACTTTCATCTTTGCCACAAGTCTAATGACAAACACGACACTCTGAAAGGAAATCCCCTGGCCGCTTTTTTTTTTAATGGACTTCCTCCGACACGTTGATAAGGAAGTGGCCTGTCAGTATTCATATCTACGTCTGGCTTTGCAATTAAGCCCTGATTACCGATAGGGGCTAGGGGGCCTCCTGTCAGAATCGTCTGAGAGGAGCAAATTGGAAAATACGGGGACAGTCCTTTCCCTTCAAAATGGGAAAAGTGTCAGGTAGTCTCTAGGGAGTGTGTGCATTTAGGTACAATGTACATGTGCCATTAGCAAAGCAGTGCACTCTACTTCAAAAACAACTAGGACAATTATAGGCCGTTTCACACGAGACAAATCTTGGGGTTGATGCAAGGTTGACGCAGGGTTGAAAACTGGAGACGATTTACACTTGGAAATTTCAAACCCCACGCCAACCCTGCGTCAACCCCGACAATGATTTCAACCGGGTCGAACTCAACCCTGATCCGGATCAGGGTTAAGAATTTTCAACCCGAGTTGAAAATGTCGTGCTCATTTCCAGGTTGAACTCACCCGGATATGCTTGGTTCGCATGAAACAAGTGTGAAACAACACCGGGTTGAACGTGGGGTTGAAAAATCAAATTTTCAACCCAGGGCGGTCATAGATTCACCCAGGGTTGAGTTCAACCCGGGTTGAGAGGCCGTGGTGTGACAGGGCCTTATGTCACTTCAGTGTACACATGTCAACAACTGACCATTGCATGATAAAGCCAAGTTCATGCTCTTACACAATGAGACAGAGGTGTGGAGCACAGAACCTGGCATATACATACGCACATGTATGTACAGCACATTGCAACTGAAATTTATAACCTTTAAATGCAGAGCAGTTTACTAGACTTGCGCTTTGTGAAGCTTTCGCAGAACTGTCACCTGGATTAGGTAAGCACACGCATCACCCCCAGCTATACATGAAAGAGAGCACTGCACTTACATGTACATGCACATGAGCATTTTGAGTATATAACTATTTGAGTCCCTGATATACATGTACATAGGTGTGCAAACATAGCACGGTTTGCTTTGGATGGACAGTCATGTTAGCTATGAACACACGCTGGTGCTGGAAGTTGACAAAATACTATAGCTGTATCCCTAACAGTCCCAAATCCTCCAATTTCAATATGATTTTACAATGTACATACAGCCTAGGGGGTTAAGGTTAAAAATCCTTGGGAGCACAGAATTGACTATCCATCCTTACACAAATATTTATATACTAACCCTCCCAGGGGTATAGGACTCTTTTGCCCAAGGAAGTAGTTTGTCAGTTTCCAATACACATGTCACGAGGAGCTATGGTACAGTACAATCAACTACTTTTATCCACAATCAACTACTTTTATCCACAATCAACTACTTTTATCCACAATCAACTACTTTTATCCACCTACAGTACACATGTGTATGTTACATGCTTCACTTTGTACAATGTATACTGTTGAGCTGCTTTCACAGGAGAGCTGTAACATGCCGAATGGACTAAAGATTTTGGGAGAAATTGTGTCCACCTCTTGACGGGAATGCCATCTGACTGCATTTATTGAAAAGATTAATTACCTAACTTGTTAATTCTAGCAGCCAAATTAAGAGCAAGAGAAAACAAAAATGAATAATAACACAGGCCTTCTGCCCCCGGTAGTTCACGTCCTGCTTGTAAT